CACACACACACACACACACACACACACACGAGCATTGAGTTCCAATATGGCAATGACAATAGGAAGAGTTAGGGCATGTGTGGGGACAGAGGTTCTGGTGCGGCTGCTGAGCCGAGCGCACAGAACGAAAGCAGAGGGCTCGGGAGGATGAGGGCCGAAATCACTGGAGGACTCGGTTAAGAAACCGAGGGCAGTCTGGCGTGGTGGCTAACTCCAGCACTTTGGAGGCAGAGGCAGGCGGATCTGAGTTCGAGGCCAGCCTGGTCTACAGCGTGAGTTCCAGAACAGACAAGACTACACTCAGAACAAAAACAAAAAACAACAACAAAAAAAAAAAAAGAAAAAGAAGAAGAAGAAGAAAAATATGAAGCGGGACGTCAGGGCGGAAAGACCAAGGCAGGAGTTCGGCACAGGACGGAGATGACTTGGAGGGGTAGACCTGGGAAGAGGAAGGACATTCCCAGGGCCCGGGCCACCCACAGCGAAAGGGAGTTTGTCAAGGAGACATCTTTGCGAAGCACCTTGGCTGTACGGACACAGCAGCACCTACCGCACCACAGAAGTGCCCTTGTAGGCTCCCTGGGCGCAGATCACGACAGCCGGTTTCGGGAAAGCTACAGACGCCTGCCGTAAAGGACGCTCGCCGTGCGACGTTTACAGCGCGACGCCGCAAGCCGATCGCCGGCCGTGCCTCTGCGGGAGCCGTAGAAACTAAGCCGATCTGCGCCTGCGCACTCAGCGGCCCCGCCTCCAGATGCTGACTGCGGATTGACCTTTCTTTAGGCGACTGTACCCGTAGTGAGTTTTCGCTCTCAGCACTGTCCGAGGTTACACTTGGGAAAGATTATTACTTCTCTCACTCCAAGCACACGTAGTTGCTCTGCCTGTGGTCCGTGGCCCCAAAGCACGTGTGTAATTCCCTATTTCCTAAGCTCAGGATGCCTGTTTCCCTATTAGTAAACCTAACTGCCGGCTGGAGAGATAGCTCAGGGGTTAAGAGCACTTGTTGCTCTGGCAGAGGAAGCCGGAACACATGGCTGGCAGGGAACCCAACATGTTTTATTGACTTCGGCGACACCAGAAACATACACGTGATACAGAATGCAAACAGACAAAACATACACATAACAAAGTCAATCTTAAAAGAAAGTTAATAGCTACTAGCACGGAGGTGCACGCCTTTAGACCCCAGCACTTGAGAGGCAGAAGCAGGTGGATCTCTAGTTCCAGGCCGCCAGGGCTACAAATAGCTATAGAGCTGCTATAGAAACTGGTTTATATTGTGACATGGTGAAAAAAAGTTCTTTGGCTGGGCGGTGGTGACTCACCCCTTTAATTCCAGTTCTCTGGAGGGAGAGGCAGGCGGGTCTTTGAGTCTGTGACCAGTCTGGTCTACAGAGAGTTCCAGGACAGCCAGGAATACACAGAGAAACCCTGTCTGGGGGGAAAGCGGGTGGACAGACACACAAGAAGAAAAAGAAAAAAATTTCTTCGAAGTTATCAGAGGATATCTGCGTAAAAACAATCAGGAAGCTGAGACTGAAGGCTGCCTGTGAGTTCAAGGCCAGTTCAAGGCCAGCCTGGGCTACACAGCCAGATCCCATTCTCCCCCCAAAAAAAGTTTCTGTAGAAAATTCCCAAGGTCCACAATATTAATGTCAATCACTCCAACTTGCTCTAGCCCACCCCCTTCCATCAGCTAAATGCTCCACGTGAAAAGTTTCACCCCAATTCGTTTCCTGAGCACTCAGCGTGTGCCCAGCAAAATACTAGCTCATTATGGATAGCTGGTGTGAACCATGCTACCAAGTTCGAATAGCAAGGAACTGACGACCACGCTTTCAGACCAACTCCTTTTGTTTTCTCTTGCAATCCTAGGGCTAGAACCCAGGTCATTATATGCTAGCACATGCTCATGACTGAGCTACACTCCCCAGCCACTCTTTCTTTCTTTCTTCTTTCCTTTCTTTTCTTTTTTTTTTAAGAGAGGGTTTCCTGTTAACAGCTCTGGCTGTCCGGTCTACCTCTGCCTCCCAAATCCTGGGATTAATGGCAAGTACCTTTACTGCACGGCTCACCCTTGGTTTCTTATTTCTTGGTGGTAGCATCTTTTCAGTCCCTCAGGCAGGTAAAGGCAGAGTCCTTTCACAAGTTTTATTATCTACTTCCTGTCCCCAGTTCTTCAATCCATCTTCATGACCAGGCTTTCAACAGTACAGACTTTATTATATCTCTCCTCAGAAATACTATATGTAGCAATAGAGAAAAGGACAATCCCAGTGTTTCCTCAGCTAAATGGAACCCAATATTAAAAACTGACTGCATAGGAATGTGTTCAGTGGCAAATGATCCTTGGCCTCAGTTTGAGGAATGACAGTAGCAGTGGGAAATCTGACAAACTGGAGCCCTATATTAGTTGGGGGTGGGGGCAAAGCTTTCCAGATGTATAGCTCCATCTTATTGTTTTGAGAGAACTAAGGTATAAGATTTTGCCACATTTTCTTTCTTTTTTTCTTCCCTTTTTGGCTTTTTGAGACTGGGTTTCTCTGTATAACAGAGAACTTTTGGCTGTTCTGGAACTTGCTCTGTAGACCAGGCCGGCCTTGAACTCATAGAGATCTGCCCACCTCCGTCTGCCTCCTGAGTGCTGGGATTAAAGGCAAGTACCTTTACTGCACGGCTCACCAGCACCTGGCTCTTCAGACATTTTTAAACCCTTCATGAGGGCATTGTCAGCCCTATCAATGTCTGCTGTAGATCTAAGTGTGAATGGGTCCCTACTACTGGACAACAGGGTCCTCACAGGCAACATTGGCCTTTCCTTGAATGTAAAGGCTGAAAAAAAAAAACCCACAACTCCCAAACCAAGAAGGAACCATGTCTGAACCATTGTTGCTATGGTGCACAGGCTTCTGAAATTCTGTGCTTATATCCCGAAACAGAGACATGAACTTTTGGGTCCTCCATTCTGAGTCCCTACCCCTCCACAACTTCCTCAATGCTTCTTTAGGACTGCATAATGAGGCAAAGAACTTTATGCCCATCTTCATCTCGGCAGCATCAAGACTCCAAGGCTCTTGGAACTCAGGCCTAGGGCCCCAGCCCAATCCCTCTGAACAAAATTCAGTGACTGCCTGAGGACCAGGTGTCTGTGCTTCACTGGTGGGGCAAGGTACCCTGGGCATCCACTCCCACTACTATCTTGGGCCCATTCACATAGTGGAAATTCTAAGTGTCTTTACTGCTATACAAAGTATTAGTTTAAGAAGTCTGGCACTCTGGGCAGTGGTGGTGCATGCCTTTAATCCCAGCACTCAGGAGGCAGAGGCAGGCAGATCTCTGAGTTCAAGACCAACCTGGTGTACAAGAGCTAGATCTAGGACAGCCAAGGCTACACAGAGAAACCCTCTCGAACCGCCCCCACCCCAAAAAAGAAGCCTGGAACAAGAGGAGGCCATGATACTGGAAATTCTCAGGCTGGTAATTGAGCTGCAGGACAGAAACCAGACTGTGTGAATTCCATTTGGAGATGAAGGAAGAAGTACAAACCATGAATTCCTAAAGCCAAGTGAGCAAAGAGTCAGGCTCAAGATGCCAGACATAAGTCCCTTCTGCAAGCGTTGCGGCTCGGATGGGAAGGTGTCCTGTCAGGTGGGAGCCAAGGAATATCACAGTCACCCTAAGTGTAGCAGCTTACAGCTCTGCTCTGGGGAAAGGTTTCCCCAGTGCTAGCGCAACTACTCTAGGAAAAACTTCCCCAGTCTTAAAGCTAGGCTCTGTTCTAGCAAAACTGTCTCGTCCCACAACAAACCTCACTCAAGGGATTTACTGAGGAGGGTGGCTCCTCGAGGGTGAGAAGCAGCAGGAAACTGAAGAGTACAATCCAGTGGGGGGGTGGGCTTTCCAGGACGGCTTGGGGCTGATGGGTTTCAGTAGCCTGATTCTGGGGCAAGCTTAGGGATTCATAAGATTTCAAGCCATGGCCCTGGGAGTCAAGCTAGGGTCAGGTTGGTTTTCCTTGGCCTCTTTTACCTTACACCCTTGAGTTCTTGGGAGTCAGAGTGGTTTTCTGTGAATGAGGCCATTCTAGTCTATATAGTGAATCCCAGGACAGCCAGAACTATATAGGAAGGCTGTGTGGAAAAAACAAAAAGAATCCCCTTGAGCTAGGAATGTGACTTGGTTGGTAAGAGTGCTAGATTCCAACCCCAGATCCACATATACAACTAGGTATTGTGAGGATGCAAACCTGTTACCTTAGCACTTGAGAGGTAGAGGAAGGAGGATAAACTCAAGATAACCCTCAGCCTCAGGGAGAAGACAGCCTGGACTATATAATACCATCTCAATCCAAATTGCCTCATAGCTTGATGTATGGCGTTGCCGCCTGGCTCACCAAATGAGGGTTCTAAAGTGGCATGGTAGGGCTGGAGAGATGGCTCAGAGGTTAAGAGCACTGCCTGCTCTTCCAAAGGTCCTGAGTTCAATTCCCAGCAACCACATGGTGGCTCACAACCATTTGTAATGAGGTCTGGTGCCCTCTTCTGGCCTTCAGGCATACATGCAGACAGAATATTGTATACGTAATAAATAAATAAATATTTGAAAAAAAAAATAAAGTGGCATGGTAAAGCAAACCAGAGTCTACTACACCTGCCATCCAGCCTCATCATAGATTAACACACTACAGTCTGGTTTCATAGACCACAATAGGTGTTACTGAGTCGGCATCCTAAGAGCAGACCCCACTTGCAGGCCACTGCCTGGGCTGAGGGGCCTTCCCTAGCAAACACTGTTCTTTCCTAGAGGCACACAAGACCTAACTAAGTAGGGAACCATATTATCCTTCTGTCCACTAGACTGACAGCCGAGAGAAGGCTTGAATCATCTGACCTGGGAGTTGAGGTCGGAATATAGAGGTGTACTTCAGCTAGCCCCTCATCAGGAGACAAGAGATAAAGGGCCATAGTGATACAGCTCAACGTAGTAGTGGAAGTCACGAAGCAAATGCATTACAGAATGCTATAAAAGCATAAAATGAAGGGGTATGAAGTACTGTGTGTGCAGTACACCTCAGAAGCCCTTACAATCTAGTTTAGCCATCCAGTTACTACCATTACCATCTCACTGACGTTGTTTTAAATCTTGTGTGTGAATACACACATTCAGGTGTGCACACACATTGGGGCATGAGGATGTCGACTGCTTCATGCTCCTAACCCAAGCTGTCTTTCCAGCTCATTTTCTTTTCTGTGTGTAGCTCTGGCTATCCTGGAACTCATCCCATAAAGCAGGCTGGCCTCTAACTTAGATTCACCTGCCTCTGTCTACCAAGTGCTGGGAGTAAAGGTGTGTGCTACTACTGCCAGGCCCCTTTTTGAGAGCTTTAAACAACCCTTGACTGGCCTTGAACTACCATCTTGACCTTTGTACTTCTCAAACATTGGTACCTTGGTGCAAGCCCAGTGTATGTAAACCATTTCATTAAAAATAATCCCGGAGGCTGGATTGTCTGTCGTTTCTAATTATGTCTATGTGTAGGCGAATGTGCATGTTGTATGGGTACCCGAGGTCAGAGGCATCAGATCCCCTGGAACTGTAGTTACATGTGATTGTGAGTTACCTAGAGTGGATTGTAGGAACCAGAATCAGACCTGGGTCCTCTGCTAGCGCAGTGCATGCTC